AAATTATTAATTTTATGCAAAAGTCAATTATTCATAAAATATTCATAGATTTAAGGTAAACGAGTAGTATTATAACTCATCAGGTTAAAATATTACTGGATTTTAAAGAATTAATAAAAATAGCTAAAGTTACTATAATTGTTCAAAGCTCATATATGAATTAAGTTTTTTGTGCATTTATTTGCCATGCTTAGCAAAATGAGTGAAAGTATGGCCATTGTTTGGACACCAAAAGTCTCAATGTAGTTCTTGTAACAATATACATGACAGTTGACCAAGTACATCTGTTTATTTTAAAAACACTTAACACACAATTAGTGTTAACACCAGTGACCGACTTTTAGTGAACTATTGTTTGTTACAAATTGTCGATTGGATTCTCGTTATACACTTAATATACATGCGATTTGATTGAGTTTTTAAATATACTACCGGTGCCGAGCATTTTATCATAGCCTACCACAACATTAATTGTATTATTTTCAACTCAATTACAAATATTAATGATATACCAGGGTTACTGTTGAAATTAACACATTTATTATGAGCGCGTCGGTAGTCAATGAGTCGTTCCCATTGTGGGCATTACTACCCAAACGGGAAACCACTGCCCAGTCATTCATCGAGAAATACCCGGATTATGACGGCAGGGGTATTAAGATTGCTATCATTGACTTGGGAGTGGATCCCGGAGCTGATGGCCTACAGGTATTTTATTGTGGGTTTTATTGACATAATTATGAAATTATAAAATATTCTCATTTATAGCTCACTAGTGATGGCAAACCAAAGATCGTAGATATGATGGACGCTACCGGTGCCGGCGATGTCGACACCAGTACTGTTGTCGAGGCAGATGGACAGGGATTTATCACTGGACTCACGGCAACTAAACTCAAAGTTTCAAATTATATTTTAAATTCAGTTATACTGTACTTAGTTACAAAACTTTTATAATTACATAAACTCTGCTTTCATGCAACTTTTTAGCATTATAGCAGTCATATTAAAGCAGATTTCGTGTATTTATACAAGTTTTGTATAATTATTACATAATTACATAATTAATTAATTATAAATATATTATTTATGTAATAATTTTGTTCATTTAGATACCGGACCATTGGGTGAACCCTACGGGAAAATTTCACATCGGATTGAAAAATATCTATGAATTATATCCGGTAGGAGTGGACACTCGTATTGCCCGGGAGTATAGGGAGACCCAATGGGAACCGACGCATAAGACTATTAAAACGGAAACACTGCGAGCGCTCCGGGAGTTTGAGGGCAAACATGGCGACCCTTCTCGGGATACATTTGATGAGAAACTTTTGAGGGAAGACTTGCAGTCGAGAGTGGATTTCTTGAAGGACATGGAGTCTAATCATAAATACGAGGATTTGGGCCCAACTTATGATTGTGTGGTATTTTATGATGGATTGCATTGGAAGTAAGGCTTTCATCAAAATATTCAACTATTCTCACGATATGTGGATATTTTTAATTGACCTAAGTAACAAAATGTATGCGTCAATTCTACTTTCATATGACAAATCATTTTAAACAGTACTTCATAGACATATGAACGCAGAGTTGTAGTATATATTTTGTTTACTAGGTCAATTAAAAATAATAATTCAAACTAATTGTTATTTAATTTCACACACAGGGCTGTTATCCATACGAGTGGCACCGGTAACCTAGCAGACTGTACACTATTAGGCAATTACAGGGAGTGTTTTAAATACGGAACAATATCTAATAGAGGCAGGTACTTTTGTTAAATAATTATCTAGTTCAAAAAATATTCAAAAATTTATTATATTGTATTATATTTTCTACAGATCTGCTGAATTATGGCCTTAATATCCATAACGAGGGAAACCTATTGGAAATCGTGTCCATAAGCTGTAAAGATATTTAAAAACCAATACAAATATAATTGATATATATATATATATTACAGCCTCTCACGGCACCCACGTGGCCAGCATAGCGGCAGCTAACTTTCCCACCGACCCCCATAGGAATGGTGTGGCACCGGGCGCTCAGATCGTCAGCATATGTATCGATTGTCGTGATTCCAGTTTCGTGAGGTACATATTATTTCCAAAATTTTAATCTACTTTCAGAATCTTATTTGAATAATTTTATTTTTTAAATTTTTAACTATAATTGAGAACTAGGTGCTTTATACACCAAATGATATAACTTTAAATAAATATAATATACAGTATTTAATGTATTTATTTAATTAATTAAGTTTAGCATTAAAAGTTTAGCACGGGCATAAAGCATCAAAGTCCTATTTATGCTAATAAGCTATAAGCAATAAAATAATTCTGAGTATATTAATAATCTTTAGAGAATATTATTAGTAATAAGAATAAAACTTTTAATCTAAATTTTAGATTCTTAAACATATTCAAAAATAATTTTTTTATAAATTAATTTTTCAAATACTTAATTTAGTTTATTTAATGAGATATAATAATAAACAGATTTTAATTTTAATTTTAAATATTTTTAGGGCACTTATTAAAGTGATAGAAACGGGATGTCATGTCATTAATATGAGCTACGTAAGAAACCCTGACTACTTCGACGGGTCAGTACCCAGTACCTTTCAGATAACTCTCCCTCAAGAATTAGTTAATTTATCAAAATATGTGCTTGGTACTTTTTATTATATTTTAGCACCTTTTACGACTTCATGAGCGAAGTGGTCAACAAATACGGAATATTATTTGTGATAAGTGCCGGTAATAAAGGGCCCTCCCTGTCCACCGCATGGCTAAATACTGTACATTCGGCATCGTTTATAAGTGTCGGCGCTTATGTCTCGCCAGATATGATGACAACCGCCTATTCAATGACTAAACAAATACATGGCTTGATGTATGAATGGACATCCCGGGGCCCCACGTAAGCGTCATTGAATTAGTTGAATAGTATGGTAATTATGATTCTATTTATATTAGGTTACTTGGTGATTTAGGCGTAACGGTATGCGCACCGGGAGGTGCTATAACATCGATTGCCGCGTGCGATCTAATGAGAGCCAAGTTGGCGAATGGCACGTCCATGAGTGCACCCAACTGTGCCGGATGTCTGTGTCTCTTATTATCGGGTCTTAAAGCCTTGAATATCGATTACTCGCCGTATAGTGTGCGCCGGGCTATCGAAAACACTGCACTGGTACTGCCAGACTCCGAGCCCTTTACACATGGACACGGAATGATCCAGGTCATAAATCGTACATTTCTCATAATAAACTATCATGCTACTTAATAAGTAGTACTTATAACAAGCTTAACGTATAGGTTGAGAAAGCGTTTGAACACCTGACTCAATACATGGGCGCAATGGAAATGGACGTCCGTTTCAACGTAACATGTGGTCAGGCTTTAGGTGTTTATCTGAGGGAAGCCGTTGATGTGGTGCACCCAACCCTTCATGACATAAAAATTGAGCCCTTTTTTCTTAATCACAAACGAATCGGTATTTAATATATAAATTTATATAAATATACAACTTATTAGTTGATAGAGTTGCATGTTACATTTATGGTCCCAGTAATCTAATGGTATACTTTAGCTCTGCTTTCATATGAATGCAATCATGTGAAAGCAGTGTCTAAGGATACTATTTGATAAGTAAGCAAATTTTTTATTTAAAAAAATTAGACTTATTTTTATAACATTTTGTTTTTAGATAATAAACGAAAACTAGATTTTGAAATGAATTTAAGACTAGTTTGTGATAACGAATGGATATATTGCTCCGAGTTTTTGCACATGACT